GTATATATATATATACTTATGAATATATATATTTATGTATATATATACATATGTGTATATATACATACATATACATATATACATATATACATATATACATACATACATATGTATATATATATATATATATATATGTATATATGTATGTATGTATGTATAGATATAGATATAGATATAGATATAGATAAAGATATAGATATAGATACAGATATAGATATATATATATTCATAAGCAAGGGATTAAAAATAGAAAGACACAAAAGAAAGTGTATGAACATCTCAACAACTACACATATATATTTCCCAATATATACACTCACTAACCCACCTCCATCTATAAATACATCATTACATACCTGATTCTCTGACATGGGCGATTGAGCGCGTGACCTTGTACAGCTGATTCTTTAGATACTTGACTTGTTCTGCCAACTCAGCAGGGTCTGACGAAACCTCCTCGTTCTCGGGGTTGGGCATCTGTGGGTTCTTCAGTGGAATTTTCGACATCTTTGAAACTGTAAGTATAGATCACTGATCACAGACGGGTTGTTAGGAAGATCGACGTACACAGTGAGTGTGTGTGCGTGAGTGAGTGAGTGAGTGTGTGTGTGCGTGAGTGAGTGTGTGTGTTTGTGTGTGTGTGATTGTACACATAAGTCACCATACCGTGTATAGACCCCATAGAGGGCAAGAGAAGTTATGCAGATCTCACTTGAAACCCTAAAAAGGTTATTCCAGCTAATAGGATTGCTCGAAAATTTTATGTTCTCCTCCAATGTTTGGAACACAGAAACAACGAATGAGCAGAGCAAACTGTGGTTTCTCAGTAGTTTTATTGTTAGTGAGTAATATAGATTGCTTTTATATCACCGTTTTATTGGCTGTTAGGTTTCAAACTCAATCAAAACTAAGTTTTGGTTTATACAATTTTCAATAGCAGCACCTCATCGTTCAGAAGGTTGGTCTGCGATATTCGTTGCCCAATGCCTACAATACGAGACTCTGGAAACGATACTTTTGCGTTAAACTGTAGAAACGGAATAAAAGTACGTTTAACTACGTTTATATCGGGATGGTCATACATTTTGTCGTTTGATAATATCTAATAAATATACATCCGGGTACATGTTCGGATCCCACTATGTATATAGGCCCGGCTAGGACGAGGTTCTTTCGCAGTCTTTTTACCCGTACAAACTGGTTCAATTTTTATAAATATACAAAATTGAACGTAACGTATAGACGTTTTTTAAGAATATTAATTGGATGACTCAGCCTTTTTGATGACTAAGCGTTTGGGGTGAACTATTTCTACTGGATCGTTTTAACCGATTGTGGTTATTGAATAATAGATCATTCCCTTCATAATATTTATATTCACAAATCCGAGTTTGGCATTTTTTTTTTGTTGGAATGTTTCCGTCAAGAAATACTCGATTTTATTGGAGTTGAATGCAGAAGAAACCTATAAAATATTTTCACTATTTATTTAGCTTCATACATAGGCATTGATAATTTTGTCCCATTTTTGCAAACATTTACGTGGTAAATACATAGGACATTTTTATCTCCAATCTTTTTCTAGAATATACATACAAAAAGGCGATTATTTTTTTTAAACCGTCTTTATGTGTACGGTGTCGTACGTGACAGGTTTCGCTATTTGAAACATATTTTAAAAACATATGTACGAAGATGCGTACGCTGGTGCTGATATATTCATGATGTGCCTATGGTTAGTGCAGCTATACTAACATCTAAGAGCTGCATATACAGACATCTATAGATATACACATACTTCTATTGTATATATATATATATATATATATATATTAGATAGATATATTGTACACACACACACATACATATATATATATATATATATATATATATATATATATATATATAGTATATTATTATATTAGTTATTTATTTATTATATAAATCTCATAAAGATATGCAGAACGTATACGATAATCGGCGTATATTTGATTATTTATCTTTATACAATGCGAGGTCTCCTCTACAGTTTTGCAAGTAATTGTACAGGCCATTATAATCCTTTGTAAGTAGTAAGCTTTAATCAAAGCTGTGTACGAGTACACACACATAGATATATATATATATATATATTACATATTAATTATACATAATATATCTAAGAAATCGGGCTTTCATTTCCCTTTTCGCACTATAATAAGATAAACTATCCATGCGGATATACATGCGTAAAAAACTGTATATGATAAGATAAGTAGGTAATATAAGTCGGATAAAGATGTCGTTCTTCAGGAGAAAACTTCATAAAGAAGGCAAAGATGGCAAGCATGCGTCTAGTTCCTTATCTCACAAACTATCCGGTCCCGATATAAGTGCGCCCATAGACAGTACAAAAATGCCTATAAATGAGATGCCACTTCTTGTACCGGTACCGCATGTGAATGATAATAACTCACACACCACGACCAAAAATAAGGCAGGCGACAAAAATGGTGGGGTTGAGAATGATATAGATGGCATAGTTGGGGCAGATAGCTCGGATTATAGTCGAGGGGGACAACCGTTTGAAGACGACAGTGACTCGGCTAATTCCTTAGGCTCAAAACTGGGTGCTGGCCTAAGTTTAGGAGGATTAAAGACTATTTTAAGTGCTGAGAGCAGCGCTACAGCGATCGAGCCAATCGATACGAACGAACATGCTTCGCAAGATACCATTCAACAGGCAGCCGTAGAAGTGAACACGCTGCGTAAGGGTAGTAGTGGCAGTACGGGGTGTGGCAAACGGCGAAAGTCTTCAAGCGCAAGTACTAGTGAACCCCCGGAGAACCTTCAAGACTATTTGATGATTAAGACTATAGGTATGCTATGTATGTTGATTTGTATTGTAACATACACTATGAGTGCTTTGTTTAACGTATGTACGTTACATGTTCCCTCGTAATATATATGTGGTGGGGTATGAATGTATGTAAGTGTGTATTTATGTTTGTATATATGTATGTAGGTCCGTATGCATGTATGTATACACGTATGTATGTACGTATATACATATGTATGAATATACGTATGTATATTGTATATGTATGTATATATATATATGTATGTATATTGTATATTATATAGATATATATATATATATATATATATATATTAGTATTATATATATATA